GAGGAGAGGCTGAAGGACTTGGGTCTTTTTAGTCTTGAGAAGACTTAGGGGGGGATCTAATCAATGCTTAAAAATACTTAAAGGGAGGGTACCAGGAGGACAGGACTGGTCTTTTTTCAGTGATGCCCAGTGACAGGACAAGAGGAAATGGGCACAAACTTGAGTATAAGAAGTTCCACCTAAACGTGAGGAAGAACTTCTTTACTGTGAGAGTGGTAGAACACTGGAACAGGCTGCCCAGAGAGGTGGTGGAGTCTCCTTCTTTGGAAACATTCAAAACACGTCTGGACAGGTTCCTGTGCAACCTGCTATAGGTAGACCCACTCTGGACTAGATGATCTCCAGAGGTCCCTTCCAACTCCATACGATTCTATGATTCTATGATTCTATTTAATTAAAGAGCACGTTAAGGTCTCTTGCAGAACCAGAGTCTGGGTGATAGGTAGTGCTTTAATGAAAAGAGCAGGACAAACAACCCCAAACCAGAACCAGGAGAGGTTCCTGGGGTCCAGGAGGAGACAGACTCTTCAAAGGTTTGGCTGCTGCTGCAGAAGAGGAACCCCCTGAGCACTGCATGCTTGTGCTCAGGAGAATATTTCTGAAAAAATGAGTAAAAAAGAATATCGTCAACATTTTGGCTCCAAATAATCCAAGAGAGACTTCGTATTTCACCACCAAGAGCTACCAAAGATGGAGACACATCAAGATTGGAGCCATTTTCCTACAGCTATAAAAAAATTTGCCTGCAGACATGAAACAGTGCATGGTCACGGGGACATGATTGTTAACATAAACACAGAACTTCCGGATGTGTAGGTGTCATGACTTTGGATTGAAACATCTCAAACTCAATTTTTAGCCTGTGCAACTGTTTAGATATGCACCATTGTGGACTGTTCAGGGAATGGAGCGATAGGATGAGGGGGAAGGGTTTGACACTGAAAAAGGGGAGATTGAGCTGAGATGTGGGGAAGAACTTCTTTGGTGTGAGGGTGGTGAGAGCCTGGCCCAGGTTGCCCAGAGAAGCTGTGGCTGCCCCATCCCTGGAGGGGTTCAAGGCCAGGTTGGAGGGGGCTTGGAGCAACCTGGGCTGGTGGGAGGTGTCCCTGCCCAGGGCAGCTTGGGGAACTGGATGATCTACAAGGTCCCTTCCAACTGTAACCATTCCATGATTCTATGGTTCAGCTGGATTTCTGCTAGAAAAAAGTGTATTCATAAATGGCTGAACACTTTGCTTTAAAAATCTAATGCCTCTGGATTTCTTTGCATCCCTTGGTTTAACTAAAAGCCTCCTCAATAAACATCTGTGGCATCCAGCACTGGTCGGCATCAGGGATTTCATTTCACTTATGTTTAGCATCCCATATAGTACGTTTTATACTACCCACATTTTGGCAAGGAAAGCATTTTCATAGAAATCAAGGATTCTCCCCTTATTCTCATCCTGGCAAGTCCTTCCCAGCCCACTCTCCTGCACTTTGTTGCAATTAAATCTTCAAGGCTGGGGCTTCATTACATCCGACTTTCCCCTCTCGTCATTCCCTACCACAACTCCCCGGGGAAGGTGTGAGGGTGTGATCCAGCACCCAGGGAAGCTTCCAGTTTGGGCTGGTCTCCAGGCGGCTGGTCCATAGCTCTGGCCGCTTTGGAAATTGTCTGCATAGCTGAGATGCCAGGAGGCTGAGTCCAGAATGCAATTAGCAACTCACAGGAAAACAAGTGGCTTGTCTAGTCCATGCCCCGGGGACTATTTGATCAAGTAATTAGATCATTACTTCTGGGGCTGAGAGGAACCCAAATACGGCACTATCCGCCTCTTTTCCTGTTTACTCAGGAAGGTGAGTGCTCCATGAAGAATGATAAGTGAGCATCTGAATGCAATTAAATCTGAAAAAGAGGAACTAGATGTGGTCATAAAAAAAAAAAAACCCTCATCTTTTTTATCATTTGCTTTCTGTTGCAGATATTTGCTTTGATTTCTCAATATTTTCGACCAGGTATCTAGCTTTCCTTAGGTTTTTTTCACATTATTGAATGAATCTGTGTCTTGATCTCTGAGGAATACATTTTAGAGCTCAGAGAAAGTTGCCTGACAGAGGAAGAACTGTGGTCCTACTACATTTGCTTATGCCAAACAGCAATTTTCTCCCAAACTGCGATAACAATTTCAAAGGTGTAGGTGTTCAGGGTGTAGGTGTTTTCATGGGTGTAGGTGTTTCCAGGTGTTCAGAGAGGAAGGGAATCTCTTTCTCTTCATATGGCACAATCCTGTGATGCTCACCTGGAAATGAAGCCTCTGCTCTCTGCTAAAAGGCTCTCAGCCTTTTAAAATCTGAATTTCTATGTTCATATGAAGGATTAAATATAATGCAAGCTTCATGCCATCAGAAGGATGCTACAGAGAAATAGTTCAAGAGAAAATCTTATCTGAATGCCATTTTTTCCACCTGCAGTTTCTTATTTCCCAGGAGATTGTTCCATTTGATTTGGGAGCAGGAGCAAAGGAAATCGCTGCTTCCACGGAACTTTACAATGAGTTTTAAAGGAGTTTAGGAGTCAAATCAGACCTCCGCAGGGACGATTAGGAATCCTCAGTTCTTTTGGGATTTCTATTGTGTAGTCTTTGTGCTTAGGTAACACCTAGAGTCCTTGACAAAGCCCAGACACCGCCGTGGCAAGGGCTGCACAACCAGTGGCAAGAGCCAGGGGCAGCCACAACCAGTTGAGACAGGAGGACGGAAACCAAGGACCTGTGAGGGTGGGACAATTTGTGCGAGGCCGGACTTCCCCAGCCCACGTGCAATGCCACGTCCATTGGGTATTTAATTATCACGACCCACTATTGGTCTGACTCCTCTCCTAGAAAAAAAAAAGCGAGACAGCGATAATTGCAGGTTAGTCACCAGCCACGTGCCCCGGGGCACCTTTAAAGAAGGAGGCAGTGGGTGCTTGCAGACAGAGCTGCGCCCATGTCTGCTGCTTCAGCAGCTTCCCCCACAGCCTGTCTCCCCATCCCTCCTCCCTTCAGCGGTTGCCGATCCCACCCTGCACCAGCTCCACACTGGAAACCTGCAGAGACACCCTTGGCACGTGTCACGGGGTAACTTTGAGTCCCTGAGGATGTTGCCCGCTCTTGGGCAAACCAATGTGGTGCTAAGGAGGAAGCACTGGGATCCCGTTAGCAGATATTCATGGGAGGGCTACCAAAATTGTTCAAATTGCTAATACTAATAATATTCCTGCAGAATTCAGCGGTGGGTGAATCCATGTCGGTCTCCCCGACGGATGAGGCTTGCCCAATTGCCACCAGAGACAAGGAAATGGAAGGTGATTGCAAAAGGTTAAGATAGGACTTCTTACACACGGGTGACAAGTCACGAGGCACGGTCTCCCAGACCTGCTCATCTTCCCCTCATTAGTGGCTTATTTACCCCTTGCTCATAGTGGAACATTTCATTTCTGACGCAGCCACAGCCAGCCCTGAGCTCCTCCAGCTTTGGAGGGGCACTTCAACAAGTGGTTGGGTTTTCAAAGTTTTCTCAAAACCACGGGAGAGGAGGGCTTCCTCCTGCTACTGCCACAGACCTTCCCACACATTCCAGCTGGAGCTGCCCCTCCAAGAGATCAGGCTTTTTGGAAGAAATTAAAAGGGGAATGTGTGAGTCGGGGGGAATGCAAAAGTGAAGGAAACACTTGCAGACAACTGATGCCAAGATAATATATATATTTTTTTTTATTGCTTCATGCAAGAAAAAGAAGAAGATGCCAAGAAATAACAAATGTGGAAATCCCTCCATCCACACCACAGTGCAAAGAAAAATCACAGAATCTCTCTCCCAGGCAATATCCCCGGGGGCACAAAATCAATCAGTTACACGTTAGTTACAAGGAAACGCGTTGTGCGTGAGGTAAAAATAGTAGAAATGATGCAGAACGTAAGGAAACCCGTTTGAAGATTTACTCTTCCTAGGACAGGAAGGGCAGTAGGAAGGGAAAGAGGTGAGGAAGACATTGACAAGTTCGGGGATCTGTAAACCGTTTTCGTTCCTTAGCCTTTGGAGACTCCCACCACAGGAGCCCCCACACGCAACCCCTCAAGGAGCCATGCATTTACGAGGGCAAACTTCTGAGCAGGTGATGGAGTAGTGTCGGCCGCAGACAGGGGTGCACACACCCTTGCACGGGGGGGTGGCTTGTGTAATGCAGGTGGTGGGACAGGAATCCACACACTTCGTCACAGCCTGAACGCCCCCACAGCAGGGTTCCACGCACGTGGTGGTGCACTTGGTGACCTCCTGGCAGCAGGGATCCACGCAGGTGGTGGTGCACTTGGAGACCTCCTGGCAGCAGGGATCCACGCAGGTGGTGGTGCACTTGGAGACCTCCTGGCAGCAGGGATCCACGCAGGTGGTGGTGCATTCACTCACACCTCCACAGCAGGGCTCCACACAGGTGGTGGTGCACCTGGTCACCTCACTACAGCAGGGGTCCACACATCTGGTGGTGCACTTGATGACTTCCTTGCAGCAGGGATCCACGCACCTGGTGGTGCACTTGGTCACTTGCCCACAGCATGGCTCCACACACTTAGTAGTGCATCTGGTCACAGGTCTACAGCAGGGATCCACACACCTGGTGGTGCACTTCGCCACTTCTCCACAGCATGGATCTACACACCTGGTGGTGCACTTGCTCACTCTGCCACAGCATGGATCCACACACTTAGTGGTGTATCTGGTGACAGCTCCACGGCATGGATCCACACACTTAGTGGTGTATCTAGTCACGGGTCCACAGCACGGATCCACACACTTGGTGGTGCACTTGGTCACCTCTCTACGGCACGGATCCACACACTTGGTGGTGCACTTGGTCACCTCTCTACGGCATGGATCCACACACCTGGTGGTGCACTTGGCTACTCGATTGCAGCATGGATCTACGCACTTCGTGGTGCACTTGGTCACCTCTCTACAGCAGGGATCCACACACCTGGTAGTGATGACTTCCTTGCAGCAGGGATCCACGCACCTGGTGGTGCACTTGGTCACTTGCCCACAGCATGGCTCCACACACTTAGTAGTGCATCTGGTCACAGGTCTACAGCAGGGATCCACACACCTGGTGGTGCACTTCGCCACTTCTCCACAGCATGGATCTACACACCTGGTGGTGCACTTGCTCACTCTGCCACAGCATGGATCCACACACTTAGTGGTGTATCTGGTGACAGCTCCACGGCATGGATCCACACACTTAGTGGTGTATCTAGTCACGGGTCCACAGCACGGATCCACACACTTGGTGGTGCACTTGGTCACCTCTCTACGGCACGGATCCACACACTTGGTGGTGCACTTGGTCACCTCTCTACGGCATGGATCCACACACCTGGTGGTGCACTTGGCTACTCGATTGCAGCATGGATCTACGCACTTCGTGGTGCACTTGGTCACCTCTCTACAGCAGGGATCCACACACCTGGTAGTGCACTTAATCACTTCACTACAGCATGGGTCTACACACCTGGTGGTGCACTTGGTCACTCTATTGCAACACGGATCCACACACTTAGTGGTGTATCTGGTGACAGCTCCACAGCAGGGATCCACACACCTCGTGGCACATCTGGTCACAGGTCTACAGCACGGATCTACACACGTGGTGGTACACTTGGTGACCTCTTGGCAGCAGGGGTCCACACATGTGGTGATGCACTTGCTCACTTCTTGGCAACAGGGGTCCACACATCTGGTTGTGCACTTGGTGACCTCCTGGCAGCAGGGGTCCACACAAGTGGTGGTACACTTGGTTACTTCTTGGCAACAGGGGTCCACACATGTGGTTGTGCACTTGGTGACCTCCTGGCAACAGGGGTCCACACAAGTGGTGGTACACTTGGTGACCTCTTGGCAGCAGGGGTCCACGCACGTAGTGGTGCACTTGGAGACCCCCTGACAGCAGGGATCCACCCACCTGGTGGTGCATCTGGTCACCTCCTGGCAACAGGGGTCCACACAAGTGGTGGTACACTTGGTGACCTCTTGGCAGCAGGGGTCCACGCACGTAGTGGTGCACTTGGAGACCCCCTGACAGCAGGGATCCACCCACCTGGTGGTGCATCTGGTCACCTCCTGGCAACAGGGGTCCACACAAGTGGTGGTACACTTGGTGACCTCTTGGCAGCAGGGGTCCACGCATGTGGTGATGCACTTGCTCACTTCTTGGCAGCAGGGGTCAACACAAGGGGTGGTACACTTGGTTACATCTTGGCAGCAGGGGTCCACGCATGTGGTGATGCACTTGCTCACTTCTTGGCAGCAGGGGTCCACACATCTGGTCGTGCACTTGGTGACCTCCTGGCAGCAGGGGTCCACGCAGGTAGTGGTGCACTTGGAGACCCCCTGACAGCAGGGATCCACACACCTGGTGGTACATCTGGTCACCTTCTGGCAACAGGGGTCCACACATCTGGTGGTGCACTTGGTGACCTCCTGACAGCAGGGATCCACACACCTGGTGGTACATCTGGTCACCTTCTGGCAACAGGGGTCCACACATCTGGTGGTGCACTTGGTGACCTCCTGACAGCAGGGATCCACACACCTGGTGGTACATCTGGTCACCTCCTGGCAACAGGGGTCCACACACCTGGTGGTGCACTTGGTCACCTCCTGGCAGCAAGTATCTTCACACCTGCTGCTGCACTCAGTCACTTTGGAGCAACATGGGTCCAGACGTGTGGCGATGCACTTGGTCACCTCCTCACAGCACGGAGGTGCACACCTGGTGACTCCAAGGCAGCAGGGATCCACGCACCTGGCAGCCTGTGTCACACCGAGATTACTCAGGTTCACGAACGTGGTGGTGCCCTGAGGAACCCCGGCGTAGCAGCAGGGATCCAGGCATGGAGGCAAGCACTGGACATTACATCCAGCGCCACAGGGATCCATGCATTGTTTCACAGGAAAGCTCTTCACCAGGATGGTGGGAGGTGGAAGGCAGACCTGTCTCAGCTGGCAATCGTTTTGGCACTGCATCTTTGAGGGAGGGGTAGTGTCTGAAAACAGGAAGGGAATTCACTCTGTGGAAAAGAGAGACATCCAGCTTTCACAAAGCTATTTCATACACTGAGTTAAAGTATAGTTTTTCAAGCAGAATATTAAAAAATATATTGGGAAAATAACCTGGAATCCATAGCAAGGCACTAACTCCACATGAAAGCATTTTAGACAAGTTTGTAGCTACTGGATACACCTACATTTCAAATAACTTTTCAAAACATGAAAGAAAAGAGGTGTTATTTGGACTCGGCTAGATTAAATTGCAGGTTCTGAAGTCATGACAGTACCCATCTGCCGACAGCTCCCCTTGGTTTGTTATGAGCTCTTTGACATCGCTTCCCTATTTCCACCCGAAAAGGAGACTACTAAGCTTCTGATGTGGGCCCCATCCACACACAGGGCCTCAGCTAGAGAACATGAATGGAGCCTTCATGCCGGAGAACTTCCACAAGAAAAGGATCTGACGCTCACAGTGCAGCTGCTTTCCCACCTCTCCCACAGAAGTCCTCCTGGTTCCTCTCATCCAGACTTCCTTCCAGGCATTGCTTACCCTTGCAGCCTGAGAGTCTCCACTTCTTATCTTCCCTCCCACTTTTTTTCTTTGAAGTCCTAGCCTTGCCTTTTGATCTCTCTCAAACCCAATAATTTCCTGGTTAAAACAGGGCAGCAATGTCATTGGGGAAAGAGAGAGAGGTTAGTCCGCTCTCAGCTACCCTGAGATGCATCTTGATGGAGAACGCACAGCAATTGCAAAACACACAGCAAATAAAGACTGGTAGAAGATGGAATGAGTATTTACCCTTACCTCAGCTGCCTGATAAGTACCATACACAAATCTCAGTAAGCAGAAGCACTCCTAAGTCTTCTATATTGCTTCTGCAGATGATAATATTTTAAAATTAAATAACCCCAGCCATACATTAAGTACGCCGAGAGAGACTTACCCAATTCACCACGAGCAACTAGCAAATGAAACCAAAACGGCTTGAGAAACACTACAATATGAATCCTTTTATATGATTTGAGTGTCCGTGTCTCCGGAAGTGAGACACCTCAGGGGTATGGAAATAAAATTTATAATAATCCAGACCTGCTCCACCTCCAATCCTTAAATTACTTGCTTACATTATAATTTTTAATGAAACCTGGCCACTGTGGTGGTACATGCGGCACTATGACTGCTGCCTGCAAGCCTGAATTCCTCATCCACGTACTTCCTATGGGGGATGTGGAACAAGGAACCGATGATACATCCTGGAAACAATCCCCCTCGGGATTAAGCTTTGTTTTGATAAACGTCGATTTGGTCAATGTTCTTGCCCCTTCCCCTGAGACATCCGTACAGACCAGGATTACGGATGGGATAGGACTCCATAAGTGGTTTTGTTCAGCTCTACTGTGTGGGTTTCCTTGTTCCTATTAGTACACAATATCCTTCCTACTTAGAACTTAATTCCCAATAATCTAGTCAGAATTCCCATTGTAACTTGCAACCATTGCCTCTCACCCTGTCTCTGGACACCTTGAGAAGAGTCTCTCCATCAGTATTTTTTAAATAACTGAAAGTATGATAATACTTTTTAAATAATTGCTCCCAGAATCTCCCCTAAGTCTCCTCCTTTTCAGGGTAAAAAGATCCTTCAACCTCTCCCCATCTGTCATCTCCTCAAGGCCTATGGACCATCTTGGTGGTCTCCACTGGAGTCACTCCAGTTTGCTGGAGACTGTCTTGCACTGTGGGCCCCAAATTGGACACAGCATCCAGATGTGGTCTCACATGTGCCGGATGGAGGGGAGCACTCACTCCCCTGTAAGTGCTGGTGTACACTGGAGGGTGCAGCCCAGTACCTGGGAGCACCCAAGTTTTCTGGGTAGCTTCATAATATCTCTTATCCTCAACCAAGTGCAGTACACCAGCATAACCAAAATTTCATAGAATCGTTGACTGGTTTAGGTTGGAAGGGACCTTAAAGCTCATCTAGTTCCAACCTCCCGGCTACGGGCAGACACCTTCCACTAGACCAGGTTGCTCAAAGCGCCTTCCAACCTGGCCTTGAACAGTTTGGCAGCCAGGGAGGGCTTCACATTGTGTTAAAATCTTCACTGTCACTTAGAGTCCTTCCAGGACATCTGCTGTGATGGCCCATATCTATGCAGCGGCACTCCAAGGTGATTAACCATCTGTGTTTGGTGCTCTGACTACAGTGTCCATGGTGGTCGCCCTTTTTGGTTTGCTGTGCACATTTCTGTCATACAAAACGTTAAATAGAGACCCAGATACATTGTTCACTAAAGATAGTGAACTGTGCATGACTGCCCCAGCACGGAGTTGTGCTACCTGCCACAACTGCATCACAGTCAAGATGCTCTTGTCTGAAAATCCCTCTTTATAAGAGAGAAGGGAGAGCCACCAAGTGCATTGACTTTGAGAGATCAAAGGCTCTGAAACTTCCTTCTCTGCTCATTCCAAACTAGCCTTAAGTCACTGGGTGACACAAACGTTGAACCAGTACTACTTGCATGTGGAGACGATGGCTTATTTCATCCGGAGACGAAGGTGAGTTCTTGTCTCTGCACCCTATTCTCCCTTTAAATGTGCATGTCCGTGGAGTAGCTTTTGATTATTTATGTTAAAATAAATAAATCTGGGATGCAGGACCACTTGTGTTGCCAACTCGCTGCTGACTACAGTGATTTGAATTAACCTTCAGTATAATACAGCTGATTTTGGTAAACTGAGGGGCTGAAGGGAAAAGGGTCCTATATCCATCAGCTTTCCAGGGGGGTAACTACAAGAGGATAAAGGCAACATCACGGCGACGGAGTCGTGTTTTGTTATTTGAGTCAGAGCTTTAGGAGAAAATGCAAAACATCACGAGACTAGCGATGATATAAGAGTTTCCAGAAGCACGTCAGGACACTACCACCAGCGCCACCGCATCCGAACACGACAGCGGCGGCGACAGAAAGAGGTCAGACACTGCTAAAAATAAAAGAATCCCCCAGATCCCACATCCCATCCTGTCTCTAATGGCCCGCATGAGGTGTTGGGCTGGAGGATGTTTTACCGTCACAGAAAATCTGACTGGGCGACTATTTGAGAGCAAGCTGGGAGTCCATTCATTTCCCAAATTCTTCTCTGACGTCAGCCCCGCTGAAAGGACACATGAAGTGGCAAGCCATCTTTGCTCACTCGAGGTTATGCTACAGCCGCAGAAATAGCCGGTTTCCATGAAAAATAATTAGTCAAATAATCCATCACAGGGCAGAGGCGGAGCAGGGCCGGGCTAGTAAAGGATAACTTGTCTCTGTGCCTGGGGCACCTCATCTCCAGAGGCCAAGCTCTTGAATATACAAGGCAGATCCCAGGTTAAAGCTGCCGTGTCTGCTCACCCTCTTTATTTGCTGATACTGAGCCGGGTAAGTATCATCGGGATGGGACAGATCTGAGCCTGTTACTGCTGTTAATTTTCTGTTGTTGGCCGAAATAGATTGCTGCTACCAGCTGCGTAGGGGAAATTGTTTATTGGCTCTCGCACCTCCTTGGTGATAAGGGTTTGAAAGAGTAATGATCTTCTTCCTTCGCACTTACTTTGCTGTCATTCCCACGGATACCCTGCAAGACGTTTCCTGCTGTCTCAGCACTGGATTTGGAAGGCTAAAACACCACCTTGCTCCCTGAGCACTTACACGGCAGGCAGGAGCCGAAACTGCCTCTGCATGTAGATACCATCGAAGCGGTGAGGTGACTGCGGCACCGCAGACGGCAGCGGCCAAGGTCCCAGGTAAGAGCTTCTCGCCTCATGGTAAACCTGAACAACTATGTCTTTCTCTTACCTGTCTAGCCTGTTGTTGCTTTTAGCCATGGTAAAGGTGGGACAGTGGTAGCTGCTCCTCTCACAGCTGCTGCGAGATGGGTATTCTCTGTGCTACAAGGGAGTTTCAGGACAAGGAGAAAAATTCTGGAAAAGAGAGGGGATTAACTTGGAGTTTATAAACCTGCTGAAAGCGGTAATCAAGTCCACAGCTATCTGCACAAGAAAATGCTCTTAGGGTGAAATTGTTTCGCTGAAAGTACATTCTAATAAGAAAAGTGGAGTTTGGAAGTTTATACAGAAAATCAGAATGACCAAGCTTCTTTTCATAAGAAGCAGTTGCAGAATTAAAAAAAAAAAAAAAAACAAAGAAATTTCTCCTCAGTCCTTATTTCATGACCAAATTGTGGCACAAACTTCAAGTGTCTTGCCGAAGAATTGACCAGCCAAGAAAATGAAATGTCTGATGCTTTGGGTAAGCAGACACCAAATTGCTCTTTTTCTTGCAGGCTGACCTGCAGTGTGGAAAGATGTCCTCCCAGTGCGAGGTGTCCTGCCTGCCTCCTCCTGCCTGCACAGGGGAGGCTGTATGCGCTGACACGTGCCCGTTGCAGTGTGCCGTGGGGGATCTGGATGCCTGTCCCAAGCAGGAGACACAGCCCTGTCCTGAGCAGACTTTCCAGGTGGACCCCTGCTCCTGTCAGGATGCAGCTACCTGCTTGGAGGCTTGCCCTCAGGTTGGGCTCACCTGCCCACCTCCTGCTGTCCCCGTGCCCGAGGACACCTGCACACCCCTATGTGTGTGTGCCTGTGGGTCCCCAGCAGTGATCCCTTGTGACCCCCCTCAAAGCAAGGGAGGCACCAGCCTCCCATTCCAGCCTGCAGCCTTGGTGGAGGAGCCCTGTACCCCTGAGGAAGCTGGGACGTGCGTGGAAAACTTCCCCTTCCAGCATGAGATCTCACCGGTGGATCCCTGCATCCCTGAGATGGCTGGGACTTGTGTGGAAACCTTCACCACGCAGCAGCCAACCTCAGCTATGGATTCTTGCACCGTTGAGACAGTTGGGACCTGTGTGAAGACCTCCATCTTGCCAGTGGAGTCTTGCAGCCCCGTGACAGATGAGACTTGCATGGGAAACATCCCCTTGCAATATGCAGTCT